AATCAATGATAACATAATCTCATTACCTGGCTTAGAAGAGAAAAAAAAGAAAAAAGAAAAGTGGGGTGATAAAAAGAGTAATATGTTATTCTTATACTGTTATTATATACTTTGTATCAATATGGTATTCAGCCTTCGTTCTAATATTTACTCAGTTTACTCCTTTTAAAATTCATCTGAAAATTGATTTATTTAAAGAGAGAGAGGGGGGAGGGAGGGAGAAAGGAAGGAGAGAGAAGGAAGGAGGGAGAGAAAGGAAGGAGGGCGGGAGAGAAGGAGGGAGGGAGAGAAAGAAAGAGAAAGAGAAGGACAGAAAGAGAAAAAAAGAGTGAAGAAAAGATAGAGAAAGATAGAGAAATACAAAGAGACAAAAAGAAAATGAGGATAAACAGACGAACACAATAGATACGCTCACTCGCTCACCCTTTTCCCCTCACTCACCTACGACATGAAGGTCATACGATGCCCTCGCCGACGAATCCTGGGTCATGACCTCGCACGTGTAGTTCCCGGCGAGGCTGTACCCCAGGCGAGTGAAGTGGAGATTGTGGGGCTCGTTCTTCGGGTACGTGTCCACGAGACCCAGCAAAGGCTCCGACACTGTGGAGGCAGGGTGGCAGGGCGGGAGGGCGGGAGGGCGGGAGGGCGGGGGGGTGGGAAGGCGGTAGGTTAGTAGGGTGGCAGGGCGGAAGGGTAGGAAGGCGGTAGGTTGGTAGGGCGGAAGGGTGGAAGGGCGGCAGGGATGCAGGGCAGGAGGGTGGAAGGGTGGGAAGGCGGTAGGGTGGAAGGGACACAGGGCGGGAGGGTAGTAGGATTATTGAAGCGGTAGGGTGGCAGGGTAGTTGGGTGGATGGTTGGTAGCGTCGGGTAGGGTAGCGGGGCAGCAGGGTAGTAGGGTTACAAGGTAATATCAGGGTAGGGTATTAGGCCACCAAGAACGTAGGGTGGTAAGACGGTAGGGTAGCAGGGTATGGGAGGTTTGCAAGGTGGCAGCGAAGGATTTAGGAAGAGGCGTGAGAGAGAGAAAAAAAATAATGATGCCTTACATACCATTCAGAATGTTATTTTTTATATAGTTTGAAATATTCTGCATCGTTTTTTAACACAATTATTCTTTAACAACAATTCCGGTTATTTCTAAGGATCGTTAGCATTTCGGGCAAAATCAAATATTCGATTCAGTTGAATTAAGAAAAGAAAAAAAGGAGGTTAAAGACTGGGCCATTTACATTACTTGCACGAGAATGAATAAATGGGAATATTGAATGAAAAAAAAAAAAAAAATCCAACGAAATGAGAGAAAGAAAGAATGAAAAAAACACGTCATATATGTGCTTAGTGCTTGAATAAATCTGTTTACGTGAATTAAGGATAAAAAGTGAATATTTCATCGCCTATGTTTCTGCGGTGATGTGGCAGTCTACCGCAAAAGCTGGACGCACAATGATAACGTTTTAATGATTCGCTAAAGCTAAAAATAGCAGCGTGGCAGTGTTAAAACTACGGTCACCAAAAAGCACTGCGATTTCCATTTACCCTAAAATGGTCCCTTTACGTAATGTGTAGTAGAAATGTATGAGTGTAATAATAGATTTATTAATTTACTGCTCGGTAATATTACTTGGAACTGGACGAATACAACCATTCCAGTGCAAGGGCAGAAGGGCTAACAAAATGAAGGGAGTGAAGATTATTAATGTAGAGTTTATCATTTTTGTCACAGTACATATCTTACAATCTATTTAAAGAAATGCCTGATACATGGGGATAACTTTAGACATACTCAAGTGATTTAAGAAAGCTACGTTTAGTGATGTTTAGATATATTTACTAAACCGGGTCTCGTAAAGTCCAAATCTACAAAGCTACTAATAATGCAGAATGTGTTGAAATTTGAAATATACTATATTTTCACTGACCGTGATCAACGACAACTTAGAAGTCACGTGGAGTACCCCAAGGTGAAATAAAATCATACATTATTATTTCAATCAAAGATATTCAGATCTTCCTATAAGGTTCAAGTGAATGTGGCCATCATAAAAAATAGCTCATTTCATAACAAGCCATCTTTGGCATAGATCATCATGCAAAAATAAAAGGCATCTCAATCTACAAGCACCTATGAATTGACATCAGAATTTAACGGTCATGACAAACACCATCATCGTTAAGTGTTAAGTGATCACCCAATATCAGCCTTGAGCAAAACCGTAGGTCTGTCATTCCCCAAACCCCTTTCACTCTCGTCCTCTCGACCAATCAGAACCTCGATCCTACCTGATGGGTTGTTGCTACTGGCCCTCCACACGTAGACCGGGGAGCCGTAGCGGAGCCAGCGGACCTGCAGGACGTTCTCGTCGTAACCGCTGCGGTAGTTGCAGGCGAGGACGTAGTCGGCGTTGGAGCTGGCGTCGATGTACTCGTCCTGCCCGCCGAGCAAGGTCAGCTCCTGGATCTCCACGCCCACTCCTGCGAGGACGAGGTCAACGAGCGTGAGAAAAGTGATTGATAAAGGTCATAGCCAAGGGGATTAGTAAAGGTCACAGTTGAATGGGATTACTTAAGGGCGTAGCTGAATGGCGGTTGGAATAATTCCTGGGGGCTAATTGCGTGACCATGAAGAGGTTGACTTGACTTTAAAAGGCTGGCGATAAGTATTACAGGAAGTAATTCTAGGTGACAAAGCTCTATTTAATAGTTGTATTTCCATGTCGATGCACGGGTCATTACATATATCTCTGAAGATAGACTTGACAATAAACTATAAAGCAAACAAAACCTGCAAATTTAACCTCAACTATTTATATGCAAACAAGTACAAAAATACAAACATATAAATAACCACACTAAAACATTTCCATGATTTCGCCAAGACTAATATAATAAGAGGAAGTAAACGGATGGACTGAATTCTTAAAAATAATGAAGAAAGAGTCGGATTTTTACAAAATTAAGAAATGACTTGCTTATTAATTGGGATGAATTGCATCTGCATTGCTTTTAGAAAATAGATGCACCATGCAGTATACATAAAACTCATGAGTACAAAACAGATGAAAGTGCATATGCATGGAAGTATATGCAACTGCAGTGTCTGCAAGTAAAGGCATGCGCACACACACACACACACACACACACACACACACACACACACACACACACACACACACACACACACACACACACACACACACACACACACACACACACACACACGAACGCATGCGCGCCCGCGCACGCCCAACACAATGCAATCTACAAAACAGATAGATAGATAGATAGATAGAGAGAGATAGAGAGAGAGAGAGAGAGAGAGAGAGAGAGAGAGAGAGAGAGAGAGAGAGAGAGAGAGAGAGAGAGAGAGAGAGAGAAACAAAGAAAGACAGAGAAACAAAGAAAGAAAAAATAACGCGCAGCTTAATTCCACGCTATCAATCCGGCTCTATGCCATTAAAGGCGAAGTCATAAGAACCAATGAATGAATGATCGCCCCTCCGCCCCCAGCCCTCATGTCATGCCTCCGGGAGAGAAATGTCGAGTCAGCGGCGCCGATGCCATGGGAACGGCGCTGGCTGCATGCGGGACGCGGCGGGGATAGAAAAGGGACCGATAAAGGTAGAGAGAAACCGTGAGAAAAAAGATAGAAAATATTAACTTATAGATGGCAATAGGGACTTAATGGAGAGAGAGAGAGAGAGAGAGAGAGAGAGAGAGAGAGAGAGAGAGAGAGAGAGAGAGAGAGAGAGAGAGAGAGAGAGAGAGAGAGAGAAGAGAGAGAGAGATAAAGAGATAAAGATACAGAGATAGATAGACAGTTGGAGAAAGAGAGAAAGACAAATTGACATACAGATAGACAGAGGTAGAAAGAATGACAGATAGATAGACAGAGGGAGAAAGAAAGACATAAAGATAGACAGAGGAAGAAAGAAAGACAGATAGATAGAGGGAGAAAGACAGATAGACAAAAACAGGAGACATAAAGCGATAGAGAACGAGAGAGATAAAAAGAGAAAGTCGCAGACAGACAGACAAAGAGCCATAAACAAACAAGCAGAGAGAACGAGCGGCGAGATGGCAGCCCCTGACCAAGATACTCCAACAAAAGAACGGAGTGTTGCGTCAATCACGCTGCGTTACGGAACTCGAGCTGCGCTTCCTGAATTCGTTAGAGCACCAGTGACGTCATTTCATCCATTCTGTTTCAAGGTAGTTCCTCCTGGAGCCATTTTTTATTTATTTTTTTATCCATAGTTAAGGGAATGGGATAAAAAAAGGAGTAATAAGACGCGAGGAAAAAGATAAATAAAAGTGGAAGAGGAGAAGGAAGGAAAGCTTAATGGTCGTATCGACTTCAAATGATAAGACTAATTGGTCTCGTTATCCGTTGATGACGTTGGAATGTCGTCATTCGTGGATCCCACGTGTCACGGGTATGCTCCTGTGGCCTCGTTTCAAAAAAGAAAAAAAAGAAAGAAGGAAGATAAGAAAGTAAAAAACATAAACTTGATATGTATCGGTTGGTGGCTCGGATAGCTTCTCGTTTCAAAAAAAGAAATAAAAGAAAGAAGGAAAATAAGAAAAAAAAAGTTTCATGTGTACCGGCTGGTGATTCGGATAGCCTTTCATTCTGGTAAAAAAAAAAAAAAAAAAAAAAAAAAAAATATTGAGCGCCAGCCGAAAGAATCCCGGCGGATATTTCACATGAGGTCGTCAGCTCACAATCCTTCAATAAAGTTAGCAACACCCGGCTCTGAGGGGAGATTTAATGAAGGGAAGCCAAAGCTAGCAAAAATGGGCCTTCCGCTGCCTGGTAGTAAGGCGAGGGAGGATGAGGACTGGCGCGGAATACTGAACAAGGTAAACCGCTCGTGTGTTTGAACGGATGAAGACGCGGAGAGGGCGGGGCATGAATGGGCTTTACACTTAAAGAGGATAACAATTTCACTGGGTTGGACTCTGAGGGGATTCTGCAGCTCACTCTCCGAGATAGAGACAAGAGAAATAAAAAAAACAAAGCAAGAAAGAAAGACAAATAAAAACAAAGCGCCTGTGATTCATAAAAAATATATCGGTTCATATCTTCTCAAACACATTTTATTGCTTTCTACTTAAAATTTATTTCTCTAAGCAAAATGGAAGGAAAAAATATAATTCGCACAACGATTTCAGTCCGGATTGTCACTCCCACGAGACCCGCAAAGGATTACGACATCAAAGGTTTCAGGGATCCGAGCTTGTCACCGATTCGAAACGTGTACCGAACACTTGGTTTCCAGCGCACATCAAAAGCGAAATATCTGCATCTGCGGCGGCTTCAACGCGAGGCCATCCACGTAATAAGAACATGTCATATCACACGCACACAGTCGGTGGGAAAGTGTCACACGCAGGTAGCTCAAGTTGCACAAAGCACATTCCGGGTAAATGTCCAACAAGATTCCCAGTTTCGAAATATCGACATTCACCAGAACTGGCAAAGAAGAGGAAGAAGAAAAGAAAGATAAAGAGATAAGATGTCCTCATGAAAGTGTATGAAGGTATAAAGTAAGAAGTATCGGAAAGTATAATCAATAACGGTCATTGAATTTTGGATGGGGGATGGGGGAAGGAGGGAGGGAGTAGAGAAGGGGAGGCTGAAGAAAGGGGAAGAGGAGCAGAAAGAGAAAGAAGGTATAAAGATGGGAATAGGAGAAGGTGAAAAAGAGGGAGAACAAAAGGCATGACGTAGAAAAAAATATGCAGAATGAAGAGAAGATAAAGAGAATTTAAGAAAGAAGGGGAGTAAAAGGGAAGAACGGGAGAAGATGAAAGAGTAATGTAAAAGAGGTAAAGGTAAGGGGATAAAGGAAGACCTAAGGAGGAAGCGGAGAGAGAATGATAAAGGACGAAGAGAAAGAAAATGAAAAAGAGGGAATAGAAAGGACCGAATTTGAGACGAAGTGGGCACTGAGCAAGAGAATCCTTACCCTTTTCAGAGAATAAATATGGTCACAGCAGGCAACTACAGTAAAAATAAAAAGGCATTGGAGAAATGCAGTAAAAAAGAAGAAGAAAAAACATAATAACCTAAACAACAATAACATGAAAAATATATATCATCGTGACTCCACATGTTCATAATGGCAGTAAAAACCGGATTAAAGCTGCTTCTTGAATCGCCTGGAGGTAGGTCAAAGGTCAAAGTTTAAAGGGAGTACCCCTCCTCCCCCTCCTTAAAAAGGGTTACCATGTTACTGACTAAATTAAGTAGACATTTGTTTTGTAGAATTTTCGAAGGACTAATGGGTGTATTTTAGTTAGAGAGGAACAGGGGTGATGATAAATAATGTTTTGTTCTGTCAATCAGCTGTAATGCATTTTATCTATTATGTATTGCGCGAATATTGCATGAACGTTTTAGCCAAACACTGATATATTTACTGGAATATTACTGGTGCTACAAATGGAACTAAATCACGTGATGTGAAATCCAACGGGACTTTGGAAAGATATTCCAGAAAAAAAAATATTATAAAAAAGAATAGGAAAATGGTGTGAACTCATGATCTACAAGAAACCTAACTGACAGAAACTTTACTGTTTTCTTGTCCCTTAATTATGGAAGGGATGGCTCTATAACTCTAAATATATTCGAATCAATAACTCACTGTTTCTGAATAATCAGTATTCTAGGGAATTACATTGTTAATCCACTTTCCACTTTCTCCGTCTCTCTCTCTCTCGCCCTCTTTCCTTCTCTCTCTCTCTCGCCCTCTTTCCTCCTCTCTCTCCCTGTCTCTGCCTGCCTGTCTGTTTCTCTCTCTCTCCCTCAGTCGCAAATAGCCGAGCAGGAAGGGCAGGTGCTGGTTGCTGAAGCTGGGGGGAGAGGAAATGGAGGAGCAAAGTGGAGATAAAGCTATGTTCCTCCGCTAACAATGGGACAATGTAGCGCAAATTAATCTCGTTTAGCGGAGTCACAATAGAACGCGTTCGTTCCTTTCACTCTTCAAGTTTTCACTCGTGTCTGACGCCAGTCATAGTTCGAGAGGGAAGGAGGGAGGGAGGGAGGGAGGGAGAAGGAGCTGGGAAGAAAAAGAGAGTGGGAGGGAGGAAGGAAGAGAGTAGAAGGAGGATGGCAAAAATGAGAGAGCATGAAAAAGTGAGGATGGAAGAATGAGAGCGAGGAAAAGAAAGGGAGGAGGGGGAGAAAGAAAGAGAGGAAAAGGAAGGGAGAAGGGGAAGAAGAGAGAAAAAGAGAGATAGAAATAATGAAAGCGAGCGAAAGAGAGAGAGGGAGAGAGAGAGAGAGAGAGAGAGAGAGAGAGAGAGAGAGAGAGAGAGAGAGAGAGAGAGAGAGAGAGAGAGAGAGAGAGAGAGAGAGAGAGAGAGAGAAGAGAAAGAGAAAGAGAAAGAGAGAGAGAATGTCAGTTTCTCGGGGCATCAGAAACGATCGCCCAAAACACCGTGCAGTAACAAGGAGACCGGCCTACCTAGCCTCTGAGATACCACAGATAATTT